ATGTGTATAAGAGACAGGTGTAAAGTGTTTTGTTTTCTGGAAGATTTGGAACTGGCAGGACACCCCGTATATGGGGAAGCTGAGGATGGTGGCGGAGTTTGGGTTCCCGGGAGGAGGAGGAGGAGGAGGCTGAGAGATGCTCCGAAGGGTTCAGCATCCTTCCCCCAGACACAGCCTGTATCTCAGCTTGAGGCCGACTACCTCCGGGAGGGACAGCAAACAGGGTCCCCCCCCTCAGCTTCCCCATATACGGGGTGTCCTGCCAGTTCCAAATCTTCCAGAAAACAAAACACTTTACACAGAGCGATGGACGGGCAGCGGGAGGGTCTGGACCCCCGGAGCCTCCCCCTCCTGCTCTGCCTAATGCCATGACACTTGGCTGCACGAGGGGACACGTCCAAGACAAATGGGGGGATTACAGGCTCCCCAGCCCACCTCAGCTCTTCGATAGAAGCCCATGGTTGGAAGCAGCTGAATCCAAAAGGTAAAAACCTAAATCGCAGCTTGGGGGGGGAACAGGACCCCCAAGGAGGAGTCTGCGGCCTGTGGCTCTGCCACCACCGCCGGGCAGGGGGTCAAAGCCAGCCCCCACCTCAGCCAGGGCCCACCCGCTCCCAGCCGGGGCTGATCCCACCCACCAAACAGAGAGAATTTGTCCCAAAGTGCATCAAACCCCAGCAGGGAACCATCCCCTACACTGCTCCCATCAAGCAGGCTCCAGCACCCCGGCTGGCTGCGGGGGCCACGTGTCACCCCCAACTGATGCTCAAGGCACCGGCTCCGGGGTGATGGGAGAGGAGACGGGCAGGAGAGCGGCCCCAGGAGCTGGAGGAGCAAAGGATCAAACCACGGTGGAAGGAGTTGCGTGTTTTCCTTGCCAGGGAGCTCGGGAGCAGGTCTACGTTCACGGGCAAGAGAAGATAAAACAGCAGAAGCATGTTGCTTTTATTACCTGAGAAAATTGAAGCAAGTCTGAATATATCAGAGAGACGAGAGGTGACCGGCTCGTAGGGGGAAGCTTCATAAAATTCTTCTCCTAGAGTGGGAGGGAAGAAAGGGAAGGGGGAGAAAAAACAAATTAAAAACCACAGCGAATAACCTCAGCTACCACCGAGGCTACGGCCAGGCGCAGGCATCCCCCTCCCGCGGTGTTGCAATCTGCAATTTGCAAAGGGAAAACCAAAAAGCATTTAAAGTGCTACCCTGTAACAACAACAACAACAAAAAAAAAAATTTTGGACCAACTCAGCTTAATTCTTGCTGGCTGGGAGTTTGTGGCCGGGCAGGCAGGTGCCTGCCGCAAGCTCAGCTCCTCGTGCGAGTCAGGTTTGGCGGCGCTGCGCTCAAACTGACCTCAAGAGTTGAGGGAATTTAGATTTGAAAGGTCAATGTTTCGTGACGATGTTCGCGGAGTCTGGGCCAGCTGCGAGCTGAAGGTTTTAGGGTCTAGACTCAACTCTGGATTGTTTTATTGCTGTTGAAAAAAAAAAAAAAAAAAAAGCATTTGCCTAAAAAAAAAAAAAAATGCTGGAAAGATTGTTTTCCACTCTGCTCTGCCTCTGATGTACTTTGGGAAATATTCCAGCGGGGGGATACAGACCCAAACGGAGAGCCTTGAGGAGCTTCCCCACCCCGATCCACCCACGTTGCACCCCTGGGGCTCATCCATCACAATCTTCACCTTCCAGAGGGAACCTGAGCACGGCCCCTCTGTCTGTCCCCAGGCTGGGAGCAAACCTCCTCTCTCCCATCTCTGATTTCAGGGCAAAACCAGGTGGTTTTGCTTCGTGGAACTGCAGAAAATGTTGATTTCAGGAGAGCTGGCCACGGCTCTCGGGAGAGGAAACGTTCCCCTCAAACCCCAGCAGCCACAGGAAAATAAAATAAAATAAAAATAATCAATGGCTGGACTTTGAAAACCCCAGTCAGAGGCTGACCAGCGGCCCAGGGCATCGATCCCCGCTGCGCCCGGCGGATCCCTGCCCGCAGCGGGTGCCCTCGCTGGGTGTCCTGGGGACGGACCCGGCAGCCTGGACCGCTCAGCCCCCGCCTGCTCTGCCCAGTTATTATTAGCCCAAGGCAGCAGCATTTATCCCGTGTAATTAAGGAGCCACTTGAATCCTTGTGCTGGAAAACAAGCTCATTAAGAGGCGGGGAGCGGTGCGGGAGGGCTCGCTCCGAGCCCAGCAGCTCCTCTGCGCCCTTCCTTGGAAATCTGGGAGGGCAGAGCTGGGTGGCTGGGCCAGGGACACCCCGCTGGGATGGCCAGCTCGGGCTGTGGGGTTTCAGCCCGTCACCCTGCGTCTGGCCCTGCCACCACCCTCGGGGTGATGGGACACGGGAGCCAGAGCCCACGCCGGGGCCAAGGGCAGCTCCTGCCACGGCTGCTCCTCGCGGGGAAGGAAACACGCTCCGGGCAGCCTGCGAAGTCCTCCCACGTTGGGTCAAGCCCCTTCGCCTCGCCAGGTTTCCTAATGCTCCCATGACAAATAGCACCTTTATTAAAGTGCATTTAGGAAACACTGTAACCTCCCGGTATATTGCTTTGCCAATGCAATAAATAATTAAATACTAGCTGAATCCTGCTGCTTGCTAGGAAAATTACTGAGCATTAAAAGGGCAGTGGACTTTTCTTGAGCTCACTGAGATGCAATTAACCTCCAGGAATGAGGCTAGAGTGAAAACAGTCCTCCTTAATGGCAGGGACAGGTTAGCTCCTGCAGCCAAGAGGCTGGTTGGGAGGCCACCGGGCACAGCATCTTTTGCTAAAAGGCAGATCAGGGTCTACCCTGGGCTCCTCATCGCTTTTGCACTCGCTGATTTATGCACGTTAAAGCTATGAGTTGCTCCATCTCCCCAAAGCTTCTACCTCTCCTTAAGACTTGGTATAATCATTTCTCTTCCCACCACCTCCTCCTTCCTCCTCCTCCTGGTACAGGTCCTGGAGTACCCATGGAGCAGTAAAGCATCCTTCATTCATGTCTGCAAAGCCCTCTGAAACTGCTGAATGAAGGCTGCTAATGAGGGGTAGAAAACAATTAAGCAGTAATTCCTGCTCTGGGCTGGTTTTCAGGCTGCTAGTCCCCGTTGCTGACCCAGATTTGAAGGTAATTTCACCCCGGGGGGTGCACGCTCAGGTACAGCTCCCTGCATCCTTGCCCAAAGCCCTCCCGGCACCACCATCACCTCCTCTGGCTTGGATCCCGGCTCAGGGGGGAGGACAGAGACCTGCACCCACTGCGGGGACGTGGCTGCCAGGGACGGAGGCTCCTCCGCCGGCTCCAGCAAACGAATCCCTTCAGCTCAAGCCGCTGAAGGAGGTGGCTTCCAGCTGGGGTAACGAACCGGCAGAGGAACAGGCGGTTTTACAGGCCCAAATCATCGGTGGAAGCGGGGGCCAAGCTGCCCATATTGGTGCCACGGGTGGCGGAGAGTCTGTCTGCTCGCAGGCTGCCACTGGTCAGGCGGGCACGTGCCCTTGCGAGGTTGGTGCCACAACCCTGCTCCGGTACAGGCGGTTTTGCAGAAGCTGAGCCCGGATTTAAGAGCTTCCACATGCAGAGCCAGTCCTAAACCCATTAAAGGGATCTATACTGTTAAACTGATGCTGGCTCTGCTCCTCTCCAGCCTGGGGCCAGGCGGGCGCTGCCAGAGCCGTGCAGGGGTGACAGGACAGCAAAGCAAAGCCCACCAGCCCCAGCCCAGCCCCAGCCCAGCCCCCCGACAGCCAGGTCCTTCCTCTGAGCCCAGCAAAGTGCCCCTCTGTAGCCCTGGACCAGCAGCACGACCGCCCAGGGCAGCCCCAGTGATGCCCCGGCAGAGGGGCGAGGGGCAGAGGGTGAAGCCCGCTGCCTCCCCCTGCCTTCAGGCAGGAGATAACCCTGCCTACAGTGAACAAACGAGCCCTGGGCCAGCAAAATCCAATTTCAATTACCCGCACTGCTCCAGCCTCTGATTTATTCCTTCACCCGGCTGCAATTCTGGCTGGCTCCGGTGCATCGCAAGGCGAGACCCCAGCGAACCCTCCCTGCTGCTCCCCAGCCCACAAACCCCCCCAGAGCCAGGGCTAACGGGGGGCCGGGTGGGGGCCACGACAACCTCTGCACCCTACGAGATCCCTACAGCTGGCACCGAGGCACAAAGCCCTGACCCAACCTCTGCACCCCCTGGGCACATCTCCTCCCCCAGGACTGGCAGGAGGGAGGGAGCCCAGCTGGAAGGGAGCCCTGTCCTGGCTCGCAGGTGCCTGCAGACTTGGGCACAACATCTCTGCCATGAGAGTGACCAGCTCTTGCTGCCAACACAGCCCCCAGCCTGTTTCTTCCTTGCCCTGCACCCGAGTTGAGCAGACCAGCTCCCAACCCGGCCCCCACCAGCATCCTCTGAGAAAAGGGGGGACCGCCTGCCGTGCCTGGGGTGCCCGTGCAGCCCAGGGCGCTGCTCACCCCATTTTTATTAGAACAACAAGGTGCCCTCAGAGCTTCCCAACGCCAAGCTGGGTCAGGACCCTCCACCCCATCGTCACCCCTCAGAGCCCTGCCCCGTACCTTCGGTCAGCCCGAGGTGTATACTCCAGTAGATCTGAAGGCACTGAAGCTCCTTTTTCATCCCTCGCTTGCAGCGGCAGTCGTAGAGGGGGCTCTCCTGCAGCACCTCCAGGGCCGCCTGGCATTCCTTGTTGGCCAGCATGGTGTTCCTGTCGCGGCCGGCCAGGCACTGCCGCAGCGTGCGGTAGCGGGAGCTGCAGCTGGGCTCCGCCGCGCACAGCTCGTTGGCTCGCACGCAGTCCACGGGCACCCGCCAGCCATGGGGGTCCTGCCCCGGCGGGGACGGGGGGCCGGCCAGCGAGCGGAGGATCTCATCTGGGCGAGGAGGGCAAGGGGGGTAAGGAGAGACGAGGGCACAGAGAGGTGAGGGAGGGCGAGCAGGTGGGGCTAACCCCTTGTATCCCCTCCCCGGGACCCCCAGACATCAGCCCCTGCTGCTCCCCGGCGTTAGAGCTGCCTTTGGGCTCCTTCCACCCTACCTGCACCCAGCCGGGACGTGTCCCCAGCCACAACCCCACCACAGGCTGTTAAATACACCCAAATCCAGCCGGTGGCCTGAAGAAGCAAAGCGGGATGTCACCCCGGCCGCGGTGACGCACCCCAGGGCGCGGGGTGGGGAAGGTGGAGGGTTAACCCAACGCCTGGGTTGCCACGTGATGCCACGGGACTCTCTGGTTCTTATTAAAACCGAACAGGCAAATAAACAAACACGGCGTTTTCCCAGCCCTGGTGCTCGGGGACACGAGCCTCCACGCGTGACCTCTCCAGAGTCACGGGAAGCAGAAAGCCCATCCAAACCCTCGGCGCCCATCGCTGCCTGGGTTTTATTTTGCAGCTCATCGTTGTCAGGCCTGACACAGGGTTTTAGGGCATCTGGCTCATGGGGTTTTGAGAACTCGGGCCTGGCAGGGCCGCAGATCGCCTGCAGCTCGGTACAAACTCTTCCTCCCGGGGACGGCCTCCTGTGTGACTCCGTGCTAGTTGCCCCTCAGGGTGGCAACCATCCAGCTTGCCCGGCTCCTGCCTGCTCCTTGGACCCTGCCTTGGCAAGCAGCACTGTGGCCTCCCCCCCGGACCCAGCACTCCCTCAGCTCTCATGCTGTTTCTATCATTTTCTCATTTTCTTTTGCTTTTTCAAATAGATTCTTGCCAAGCCAATCCCAGGAAAAGCCACTGGCCCATCACATCACGGGTGCACGGGGAAGGGGGACACGCTACACCGGCACAGCTGGACCCCCGCCAAACCCCAATCCTGCTCCAACCAAGCGATGGGGATGGGGTGGGCAGGACCCCCTGCCACTCCTGACCCCCCCCCTCCATCTACCAGCTGGCAACCATAGGCAAGAAAAGCCCTGGAATGGGTGAAGATGGGCACGATGGGGACCTGGAGGGCAACCTCGGCTGCCCCAGAGGGTGATGCAGAGGCAGACCCCCCCTTCGTGCAGTGCCTACCCCCACTGGGCAGCAGCCCCCCCTTCCCCTTGCTGCCACACACACAGAGCACATGGGCACAGCAAACCCCAACCTCCAGCTCCCAGCCCCTTTCCAACCCGTGGCCACTCGGCCGGGTATGGCAGGGGGACAGTGACACCTACAGGCATGTGACAAGGGCCACCCGTGTCCCGTCCCCCCCCCCACTCGCCAGGACACGCAGGCAGCTCCCACGCTCGGGGAGGGGATGCTCAGCCCCAGCAAGCAGCTCCCCCCCACGCAGGCAGGGCTTGTCCCCTGCCACCACCCTGGGGTGGACACCTGTCCCCTGCCTCCTGCATGCCACGGGACCAAGTGGCCGCAGGAGCAAGTGGCCACACACACACATCTCTGCCCACCTCACCCGGTCAGGACACGCTCCTCGGGCCACGGGGAGAGGAGAGGGGATGCTCGGGGCTCAGACGGCTCTGCAGGAGGGACGGGGCAATGCCGGGGGACCACGGGCAGGTGCCCGGGGTGGAAACACCTCCACTGCCTGCGGTCAGGCCAAGGAACAGGTCCCGTCCTCCTAGTCTTCAGCCGATGCCCCCGAACAAACACCGTTGGGTTCAGAGAGGTCTGGAGGGTGTCCAGGTAACCAGGAGCTGGCTCAGAGCCCCCACACCCCATGTTAGATCCAATTTTGGGTGGCAGATGCCCCTTGGGAAGGCCCTCCTTGGCCTTTCAGGATTATATTCCACACGGGAGGCAGGCAGGATCCATGAGCGGTGGAGGCACACTCCTGACACACAGCCTGGACTGTTGGAGGAGAAACAGGCATCCCCAGAAGCTCCTCAGGGCAGAAATGCCAGCTCTTGGCCATGAGATGGATGATGCCTTGGTGCTCTGAGTAGAAAGGGGTCAGCTCTGCACCTTTCCACGCCGGGAAACCCCAGCCCAGAGTCCCCCAGCGCAGCAGCTGGGACAACCTGCTCTTGCTGCAGCCGTTGGCCCCAGGGCAACCAGCCCCCGGGCATGGAGAGCCATCCCACAGCGCTGCCATTCCTCCACTGGAGCAAGCCCAGGTCTCAGCTCCAATTCGGTCTTCTCCAGCCGATGCCACGAAGCCTCTTCCCAAAACGCCGCCCGAAGCTTCTCCTCCGGCCGTGCTCCAGCCTCCCCGCTGGCTCCACCGGCCTCCCAGGCAGGGATCAGTGCGGGCAGGCAGGCAGGGAAGGGAAACGGCCTTGCCCTGAGGCAAAAGGCACTGAACCACACGGACCATCCTTGCGCGGGGGCCCCAGCACCCTCGGCCGCACACCCCAGTGCCGGGGCGGGCGCTCGCTTGTGCCAGGGTGTGAAGCCCAACAGTAAATCCACGCGCCGGGGAGCCGGCAGGGATGCATGGCGGTGAGCTGGCCTCGCTCTCCCGGCTTTTGTCACCTCGCTTCCTTGGCCCCTCAGAGAGCAGGGTGCTGCGTGCCCCCTCAGCAGCCCCGGGAGGGTGCCTGCAGCACCCCGCGCCGCATCCAAGCCGGGAGCACCAGCAGAGCCCGGAGCGCGGCACGGAGCCATCCCGCTGGGGGAGAAGGGCAGCACAGCCCTTCCCCGCGGTTCACGGCCCGCACAGGGCAACTCAGACCCCCCAAAATCCAGCAGCACGCTCAGCCCTACCTGCTGGGTCGGTGTTTTTCCCTAGGGCCCTCCTCTCCTCCCCACTCGGGGTGAAGCTCCGCAGCCCCCCACAGAGGTATCAAGTGGGGAGTTTGGACAAGAGGATCAAGCTGCAGGGGTGGGGGGTTTCTACCCAAATGAAATCGCCTCACAAATGCACGCTCGCTAAACTCATATCAATAAAACATCTGCAGAGAATTTAAATCTAATCCTCAGCTGTCTCTGGGGTGCCGGAGCACAGCAAGGATTTGCAGGCAGATGCACGAGCCTCCGACAGCCAGGCAGCAAACGCCGCGATGGCCCGCTCTCCCCTCACTCCCACAGCTTCCCCCAGCAGCATCAGGCTGTGTTGCTTCTTTCCTAGCTGTAAGACATGTTTCCTTTTACTGGTCCTGCCAGAGACCTTTGGACACAGGCAGCTTTAGAGGTAAATATTTATCCTCACGACTCCACTCACACGCACAAAAAAAAAAAAAATTAAAAAAAAAATGCTGAGGAACGTGCAGCCCTCCCAGCCTGGCCGCTGTGGCAGCGATCGCTTTCTCCCAGCCAAAGGGCTTTTTTGGCTCATCAGAAAGAAGAGCCCAGATGTGAAGAGGTGGGATTCCTCCGTGCCGGGCGCCGCTCGCCCGGGTTCCTCCATGCCATGGGGGGGCTGCTTTGGAAAGCAGCAGGATGAGGCCCCCCCTCACCCCATCCCTACGCCTTCCCTGCAGCCACTGCTCGGGGTGTTGCAGCTCCTCTGGTTGGGTGGATGGGGAGGGGAGGGGAGGAG